GTATGCATGCATGCATGCATGCATGCATACATACATACAGACATACATACATAACTAATATTTATCCATTGAGCAAAGTTTACACATTGAAAGATTATTCACTATATAAAGCAAAACTAGGCACTGCCTATGCAATCGATGGGAAAGCCCTCATGTTTACACATTGAAAATTTATGCGATGTGTAAAGTTTACACATCGGATAAATATCCGCTGGGTAAACATGGGAGCTTTCCCATCGGTTGCATAGGCAGCGCTACTTTTGCGATGGGAAAAGCCTTATTTTTCCGATGTGTAAAGTCCCTTTTGTAGTAGTGCAGACTTGGGTATAAGAAACTCCAGTCGTGAGTTTCTTGTGTCGGTGTAAACCATCGAAATGTTTGTGCAAACCTGTGGTGTATAAATGTGGCATATTTTTTGGTGTAAATGTTGCATGATCCAAATAAAAATCCTACTAACAAATCCTACGTAAAAGCTAAAGATTTTGTGATTTCTGGATCTTCTACAAGCGCAGTGTCTAAATATTTTGTGATTTCTCGATCTTCTAAAAGCTAAAAATTGATCTGGTCCGCCATTAGATTCATCAGCGCAGGGTTCTTCATCTTCTCCGCCATTAGATTCCCAGATCTTCTCCTCCTGCGTGCGGCTCTTCATCGGGGTTCTTCATCAGCGCAGGGTTCTTCATCTTCTCCGCCATTAGATTCCCAGATCTTCTCCTCATGCACCCGGCTCTTCATCTTCTCCGTCTTTGTTCTTCATTTCTCCAATCGATCTAAGTGCTTGACTCCGTCACTACTCCTTGTTTTTCCAATCCATTCACTTTGTCACTCCTATAATAAGGTAAGGTCTTTTTATCTTCAAGATCTTGATTAATGATGTTGTGTGAATTATCTCTTTACATATCTGCTCTTTTTTTGCATGATTTTCTCTATTTATTCAATTTCTTAAAAATAGTTTGAAGTCTTCCTGTAAGAATTGTTTCGGAGGAAAATCTCTCGTATTATTTCTATGTGTCAATATACAACCATGAGTTACATATATAGTGGAGAGTTCTGGTTAACAAAGGAAAGGAAATCATCACTATACAAGGAAACTACTAAAATAATATATACGGAATGTACGAAAATAACTCCCAATCTTCTCTTTCCTTTTACACCCCCCTCAAGTTGGAGCATGTAACGAAGAAATGCCCAACTTGGGTATAAGAAACTCCAGTCGTGAGTGTCTAGTGTCGGTGTAAACTATCGAAATGTTTGTGCAAACCTGTGGTGTGCGTGTGTGTGTCTATATATATATATATATATATATATTGATGGATTAGGGATGTTTCCTAATCCAATAATATTTGAACAGTACAAGAAAGCCCAATTTTATCCGGCCCAAGATATAAATCAGATAAATTATTCAAGACAGAACCAGAGATATATGGATAGAAGAATATATTTGAAGTGATGTGGAGACATTTGGCGGGACCCTTGGAACACTATCACATGGAAACCACATGCCGCACATGGACTTCACATGGAGAATGTCCCCTTTTGTCTCCATCAATTATTCTCTCCCCCCCCTTTAAATGTAAGCTACGAAGAGGAGGGAGGGGGAGACCAACCTCCTACAAGTTTCACTACTATTCTTCATTCTTCTCCTTCTCTTAGCATGGAGCTCCATTAATGGCTCCAAGCCCCTACAGTGATGTATATGTAAATTCCCCCGAGATTAATAAAAGTTCCTCCCCTTTGGCATGGCACCGCCTAAAAAGGCCCGTGGTTTTCTCCCGATTTGGGTTTCCACGTATAAATACTTTCTCTCCGCTTTATTTATTTATTTAATTTCGGGATTTCGCTATTCGGTGCGGTGCCGACCCGGTACCGATTTCATTGGGTCGGTGCCCCGAAAAAGCGGTTTCCATCACTGGCGCCACCCGTGGGACCCGTCACAAAAATCTTTTGTGCTCTGAGTCCGTAATAGAGAAAAAAAAGTGGGTGAGAAAGTAAAAAAAAGACAAAACAAAAAAGATGGAGAGAGAGAGGGGTTGAAGGGAAAAAGGCAGAGGAGAAAAAATAAACAAACTTCCTACTCTTCTGCATCATGTTGATTGACCGCCCAGATCTGGAGAAGCCATTTTGAGACATTGGACAACGGTGGGTCCTTTTCAGCGTGCCTTCTAGTGCGGCTCACTTCCGGCGAAAAGCAGGGAGCACCGCCTTACCTTGGGCGACCATGGAGAGCAGCCACCAGCCCTCGGTAGAGCCACCTTCTCGACGAACAGCAACGGCGGGCCTCCGGCGAGCTCCCACTTATTCAGGCGAGCCACGGACAGCGGCGACAGCCCTCCGACGAGCTCCCACTTCTTCCAGCAAGCCACGGACAGCGGCGGCAGCCATCCGACGAGCTCCCACACCTTCCGACGAGCCACGGACAGCGGAGGCAGCCCTCCGACGAGCTACCACTTCCTCCGGCGAGCCACAGACAGCAGCGGCAGCCCTCCGACGAGCTCCCACTTCTTCCGGTGAGCCACGGACAGCGGCGGCGGCCCTCCGACGAGCTCCCCACTTATTCTGGCGAGCCACGGACGGCAGCTGCGGGTCTCCGAGGAACTCCTCCTTCCTCAGGCGAGCCACAGATGGCATAGACAAGCTTCTTGTGAGCCTCTCTTCCTTGAGGCGAGCCGATCCAACACTCTAGCGAGCCACTCTCGGTCCTCTCCAGTGAGCCACTCTTTCCGTCGGTCCACAACCAGGTCCAACGAGCCATACTACTAGCAATTGTCCACTCAGGCGAACCTTGGCCCGGAAGAAGCAAGCTCCCACTCCCTCCGGCGAGCCACAGACAGCAGCGGCGGCCCTCCAACGAGCTCCCACTCTTCCGGCAAGTCGCGGATGGCAGCGGCCGCAATTGCTCTAGTTCGTCCATCAAGCTCCCCCTGCTCCGGCGAGCCTCATCGATAACAAGCGGGCCTTCATCTTCGACTAGATCCAGCGAGCTCCAACTTCCTCTGCCGAACCACGGATGGAAGTGGCGGGCCCCTCTGCGTGGTCCTCTCCGGCAGCCCTCTTCGGCGGTCCTCTCCGCGGTCCTCTCCGGTGGTCCTCTCCGTGGCCTTCTTCGGCGGTCCTCTCTGCGGTCCTCTCCGGTGATCCTCCCCGCGGTCCTCTCTAATGGTCCTCTTCAGCAAGCTAGGGACGCATCTTGAGCACTCAAGCTTTAAAGGTCCCAAAAACAGATATATCTAGCCTTAAATGGACCGTTCCAACTTCAAGGACCCATCCAATGGACAGATTTTGCCTCAAGTGGACCGCTCCATCCTCATATGTCCTTCCCATGGATGGATTTGGCTTCCAGTGGACCGGTCCATCTTCATAGGTCCTTCACATGGACGGATTTGGCCTCCAGTGGACCGCTCCATCTTCATGAGTCCCTCAGATGGACGGATTTGACCTCCAGTGG